CTTCTAGGGCTTCTGTAAAAAATATACATGCAGATTCTAAAAACATATTTTTTTTACTGTTTTGTTGAAAGAAACATTTGATCGCTGTAACATTTCTTAATAAAGTTGTGTCATTTGAAGTAACAAGAGAAAAATGAATGCAGCATTTTGAACTCCTATTCGCAAACAATATGTCATTCACAATATTACAATATAAAAAAAAGATAACTGAAGCAGCTGTGAGGAACTTTAGATCGTGCTGTTGGACAAAAGTGGGATATATTGTGTCGTAAAGATGTGAAGTTTCTTTTAGAGGCAGGGGAAAGAAAACATGCAACTTCTTTTCAGTTCTTGGTTACTTTTTTAACGTTTGCAGGAAGCGTTGAGATGCTTATATTTGTGACACAAATTCCCATATTATTATTTCTTCTTAAAGATTCCCAGTGAGCACGAGCCGGGATTTTAGAATTAAAGGGTCAAGATCAGGTTGCCATCAGGTCTGAATGTCTAAGACCTAACTGCAACCTGGGGCGGGGCCAAGGTGTGGCCAGGGACACCCTATAAATTTAATTGGCCATCCCAGTGGCAACCCCGAAACCCTAAAATATGATCGGTTATCTGGTTTACTAGTTTTTAAAATCAGGCTGCTTAAAGCTTTTTTTCCCCTCAATAGAGCATATTGCTTTTTGGTCGTACTTGACCTTCAGCAAACTTCTTTTTAAGGTTAACATTTTTTAACACGTCTCTTGAATACTTCTCAGTAATCTCAGTATTGAAAGTAGACATGAATAGAATTATTTGTCCTTTCTTTCTCCACTTATCATTTGTGTGTGTAAAACATTAATGTGTCAGAAACACTTTTTTGCTATAATTTTTATAACTTGTTTATCTTTACATTGACATGTTAATGGAAATGGGTTATTGTAGTGGTGGGTGAAATGCTTTCAATTCAAAAACATAACCCCATTTATTTTTCATTCATACATTTACACATCATTTTAAGGGCTGTGTGACTTAAACAAAAAGGATGAAGTAAAAAAGAAGATGACGCATTCACAAGTTCAACAAGTACACATGACTCATTTTTTTCATACCTGCCTGGAAAATAGTTCTCTAGAAATGTCAGTGAATGATGGTGGAGAGCACTGGACTTGTAAGCAGGATGTTGTGAGTTCAAATCAGGTGTCTATTCATTCTTCCCATTGGTGATGCATTGCTCACTTTTCCTTTTTTTTCATTGTAGCCGCTATAAAACTGAGATGCATCTTGAAAATCCCAGTGTGAGAGTTTCACTATGAGTGACAAGTTTGACTGTTAAAAAAACAAAAACAGGATGACTTCTCTGTCCGAAAACATGACACCATGTAAAGGACAGCATCAGCAAAGACATCAGAGGAACCAGTGTGTCCACAGGGAGCGATTACATCAACACAACTAAAGATCCTCATAGAAACTTTAATAAGACATCGGATAAAAATCCTCAGCAAGGCCAACCTTTTGAATTATTAATAATTATTTTTGATATAATGTTCACCCTGTTCTCTGTGGACTGTAGAGCCTTTTCTTCTCTCAGTGTATTTCAGATATACAGTGGAGGTCACACAAACCTGTCTAAGAAAATAAAATAATCAGGACTGTCCCTGTGTAAGGTTTCCCCTCTGTTCTCTTTTTGTCTGTTTGACATTTCAAGTGTTTTCTTGTGTTTGTGCAGAATTCCCCAAAGAAAATCTCCTCCTGTTTCCTTTTAACTTTTTCCTCCCTTTTTCTCCCTAAGGCCGTGTTCACACTTGACTTCAGAAAAAACTTTTCAGAAAAAAGCGCTGCTTTCAGTACTGCTCCTCCTTGCTCCCTCTACGCTCTGAGTCCGTCAGCTACACTCTGCTGAGCCCACACTGTTAGACCCCACGTGGGCCAAGTCTGCTCTGATTGGTCTGCCGATCCGCTCTGTTGTTATTGGTCAGTTGCTCAGCACGCGACTCAGAAATTTCAACATGAGCTGCAGGGCTTGCCACAACGAGCCAATGGGCTTAGATCAGTGATCTCACACTGACAAGACGTCACACTGACACATTTTTATCGAGGGGGGCTAGAACCGAGCGTTACATGCAGCTAATGCTACAGCTAACAGGAGGACGTAGGAGAAGCCGCGTTTCCATGGACTTTGAATTTTTGCACATAGATGTGCCTAAACATGCACAGGACACTTGGAAAACACACTAAAGAGCATATAAAACCAGAAAGACTCACCTGTGTTGACACATCAGCACGGTGGACATTTGTTCTCTGTGTTGCAGGATGAACATGGACATAATAAAATGAAGGCGCGTTTTTGATTTCACATATTTTCTATACAACACAAGCAAACACATTAAAACAATAATGAACAAAGATCTATTGCTGTGAGATTGTGAAATAAATAAACATTATCTGCCTGTTTTTTTTTTTCTTATGATCCATTGTTATGAATCACTTTATTTGCAAGAAGATGAGGGGTTAAATGCACATTACGGAGGTACAGGACAATAAAAAAATAGTACTGAGAAAAAGAAGACAAGTCTGCACACTTACTCAATGCCACAAAAAAGTGTAATAATCACTATTTCTGTTGCAAAATGGCTTTAATGCAAAAGTGTAGCTCAAACTGTTTTACCAAAAAACGAAAAAACATGCAGCAGATGCTTCACAGATCTATCAGAATGAACACTTATGTAGGGATAGAGTGCCTGAATAAAAAAAAAAAATGGACCTCAATGAAAGTAAGATAAGAAGAAGAAAAAGGAATCTACATGATTTAAAAACATATTACTTGTGTGACCATGTAAAGTCAGTATTTTGTGGCTGCAACAATAGCAGTTATCTATTTGGCATGAGCTCTCCCTCTCTTTCTCCCTGCTATGATTCTGCGTCACTGTTTTTTATTAGTGAATGTTTTTTATGATGAAGGCGATTGAGGTCATTTCTTTATTTGCATACAGAGCGAGGAAGTGAGATCCAATCACAAACGGTCGCCTGGTGCAATTGGAGACACATTTTAATTGCATGAAGTGAACTGTCCAATTATGGTTGATCACCAAACATTCAGGTTAATCTGCAGAATTAAACAGTGTAGACTCCGATAGTCGTTTAAAAAGGAAGCTCATGCTGTAGTTCCTCCAGTGTCCACTTGAGGCTTTCTCCAAAAAACCCAGGAGGTCAAATGGAGCTCAAAAGTGACCGCCCAATTTTTCGGCACCTTTGGTTCTGAAATAAACTTCCCCATTAAAATCCTCTATTGACATTTCAGAAAATCATTATATCAAGAGATTGAAGCCTGGAACCAAGACAACCAGCGACCTTAACACTCCTGACTTAAGGAACATACACCATATATATCGTTTCAGACACAGGTAGCTCATGGTGAGTCTACCTTTGATGGTTATAATCAAAACTGCTATGGAGAAAATGAATGGGACTTTTACTTTAGGAAGCACACCTGTGAGCCCTTGTTGCACCCAAATGGAAATGTTCATTTTAACATCAGAAATAAACATCCTGGTATAAAAAAAAAATGTTTTGGTCTAAAAAAAGCTCTTTTTTTTATCAGTACGAACTTTACAAGGTCACATTTTTCGAACACATCTGCTTTGATTTGTTGAGTTGACTGAGTGGGGGTGATTTGTAGCTTTTTGCCACCTCTCTGCCTGGTTCTACGTTGAGTTAGTTTGAGACGAAATGTTTAATATGGCAAGTCCTGACCACAAATGATGTGACACTTTGTCTTAAGCATCAAACTAGACTTTCTATTAAAGGCACGTTTAGCACCAGATATCTTGCACTGTACTTAATCATATTGTAAGATGGAGATGAGATTTATTTTTGTGAAGTTGTGAAGTGTAACGGCGCTTCTTGGGTGATGTTGATTTAATCCTTGGTTGTCTTGTTAACTGTAACACTAAACATACTTAATTAAATATATCTTCAGGTGGGGGTAAGTAAAAGCACGGGGACATCTTCTGCAGTACGTCTCACATACTTTAATGTCTGTCCGTAGCAAAGCATGACATACACAACCCGAACCCCAACAACCGGGACACCTTACTTGTCTTAAAGCAATATCACTCCTCCAACTGTAACCATGAGTAAGCTTAAAGGCATAGTGCATCATATCAAACAGATACTCTTACAAAGTACAAAATGTAAATATAAATAGAATTAGCATTAAATCAAATAATGTATATTATCTCAACCTGAGAAAAATAAAGATCTATAAAATAAATCTCATCTCCATCTTACAGTATTCTAATTTGTGAAAGTCTTTTCAGACATCATCTTCCTGCTCAGAGCTGACATTGTGCATGTAATGCTAACTGAGCTGAGCTGTTGTATCTTTAGAAAACGCGTGTGCAGGTAAGTAGAGAAGCATTACTCAAATAATGAGGTCATCAACGAGTACTCTTCCCCATTTCTAGTTTTTATGAAAAGTACAAGGAAAATATTGATTAAATCATATATAAATAACTATTCAGGCCATGACCCTGTCCAGCTATCCCAGAATGCACCAGTTCTGCGTCACGCCCCTACAGCAGCAGCAATGTTGTGAAACACAAAACAGAGAGCAAAGGAACTTACTGTGACCCTCACTGGACCTACAAACTCTATCTGTGTGTCCTCATATAGATGTGTGTAATTAAGCGAGAGCACATCATTATTTTCATGACTCACTGTGCAAATTGATGTGCTGCACCTGAAAGGACAGGCTCTCAAATTATGTTTATCTGACATTCACTCGGCTGTTCATTCACATCGTCAGGGTGATAGCAGAAAGTCGGAGGGTTAGTGGATAATAGTGTCAGGCTATTTAAAGCACTGACCTACTTTTTATGAACGAAATGAAGGACTTATATGTCAATATGAAATAAAGACATGTTTGGATAATAAAAGATGAAGAGAATCTCAATTTAGGCCAGATATCATTTAATGAAACACAATCATGTGGGTTAGGGTTAGGGTTAGGGTTAGGGTTACACACACACACACACACACACACACACACACACACACACACACACACACACGCACATATACCCTAACCCCTGCATATTTTCCTTGTCTCTCTAGCAGCTTTAGATTCCTGAGCTGTCTTCTTCTCTCCTGGAAGCTCAGGAACATCTTGTTCTGATCGTGGATAACAATAGATCTGAGTGTATATCTGCGTGTGAGCTGAGATGGCTGCAGAAACGCACCGGAGCTTGAGCCACTTTCCAGTCCCATGAACCGCATTAATTCACTGTGCCAGGTGCTCAGGACATGAGAGCTCTGCTGAAGCTGATACCTGCCCTCTCAAAGCACGGCCATGAAGCGTGCGCGATGATTGTGAACCACTTCATTCTGAATGACCTTGACTCCATTTTGCTGTATAGTTACGTCTGAACAGAAAAACACAAATATAAAGAGTTTCTATGGATACAGAAATGCAGTACAAACTCTAATTTCAATGCAACATAAAACTGTGTCAAGGACATAATTGGATGATAATGTTTTTTTCTCTCTTTATATTCAGTTATTGCTTGTGAAATAGCACAAAAAGAAATCTTGTTGTTGTTTGACTGAGGAACAAATCAGTCCTTCAAGCCGAACGTGAACAAATGCAATAGAAACACGTTTTATATGAATTTCCAATGCTGTCTAATTATAAACGTAGCACAATGAAGCAATTGTAACAAATTTGAATATACTGTCGTGTGCGCATATAGGCCATGGTTGTGCACCGATCACAGCGACTAAATGTCACCACTCCTTCCCATTCAAGAGGAATTCTCCTGATTAAATCCTGCTGCGTTCTCAAAACGGCTCAGATGGACTTTCTGCAGAAAAAATACTGTGACTCAGGCCAGAGAAACTCTGATTAAGTCAGAGCGATACAATTCAACATGCAGCTCACCCCAAAACTTTAAGAGTTTTGTGCAAGTGTGAAAGCACCTCCAGTAAACTGAGTTCTCTTACCCGTGGATCAGTGCTGGCAGTGCCTACATGTAACAGGCTTTTCCAAATTTCTTAGCCATAATTCAGTTTTATGTATTTTTTTCTGCAGAAATAAATATGGCTTAAATCTTTTAGAATAAAAAAAGCTTACCAGATTTGAACAAGTTGTGTTTTGACGTTTTAATTCTAACTTTTATTTTTTACATACTTTATTGCTCCCTGAGGGGAAATTCTGGTTAACACTCTGGTATTGACAGGACCTGTGGACATGCATTAGTGGAGAGATGTCAGAGTGGGGCTGCTACTTAAAGGGAGTGCGCCAGAGCCGTTTGGGGGTTCTGTACCTTCTCAAGTGCACCTCCTCGGCAGGACTGGGCAGGCTGTGGAAAAGGAGGAGAAACTGGTTGAGAGATCAAGAATGCCTTTTTGACTTTTCATTCTCTTTGTACCATGATAGAATGTAGAAGGGATTTCAGCCCTCGAGTTTCCCTGTATCAATTCTGTCCAGGAATATGAAATCAGACATTATTCTCTGGACTTTGAATTACCTTCTCCTTACCTTTTTAGTTTTCTGCTTGTAAGTTGAAGTTGTAAATTCCCAACAGGTGCATTATGGGAAATCAAAATCTTAAAAGGAACATAGTTGTGTTCTTGCAGTTAGTGACCCAGTTAGGTCCAGTCTTTTCTAAATCTAAGTCTTAAAATGTGGGAGGCTGTCAGAAATGAGTCTTTAGGCTTAAAGGTTTAAATGCCCTGACACACCAAGGAGACGTCGACCCGTCGGTCCGTCGGTGAGCGGTCGGCGCCCAAGTTTTTGCAGTGTGTCCAGTTTTTTTTGGGCGGTTTAACATGTGGAATCAGCGTGAGCCGTCACCGGCGCGGTTGGGAGTAAGAATCTCTCTTATTGGCTGTTCAACAAAGCTAAACAGGAGAGCCAGTGCATGAGAAGAAATACAGAAGAGCGTCTTCTATTCTTGTTACACTAATAAAAGACCAAGGGCTGACAACACCAGCGCCATTTTCAACTTTTTATCAGACATTATTCTCGAGTAGAAGTACTTACATTACGAGTGTTGAGCGACAGCAGTGAGAAAATTGTCTTCTCATATCACAATAATGGTTTATTTATCTGCGTTCTTCCTCGTCCTCTCCCGGTTTCCCCTTTTTGAAATGACGATTACAGACTACTGCCACCTGCTGGCATGGAGAGTTATTGCCTCTTATGCATGCACAGAATGTACGTGGTGGTTGGCCGTCCGCTGTAGTCTTTGTGTTGTGTTATCATGCTACTTTTTGGCCAACACAAAAGGCGTTGTGTGCCGACGCCACAGGCGGCCTTGGTTGCCAATAGTTCTTTGCCGTCTGCTTGGTGTGTCAGGGCCTTTAGACTGCAAGTATCCCTTAAAGAGCACCTCAAACTAACACTTTTTTTAGTCCAGGAAGCGTTCCTTTGTACTGTTTTTTTCTTTTGAAAGTCTTATTTTCAAAGTCTCTGTTCTTCATCTCTGAGGTCTAAAGGTCTGAAGGAACTCAAAAATGTGTCAGATCCACTGACTCATTTATTTTTGGTATACAATTATAATTATTGTGCAGAAGTCTTCTTTTCTCTGAGTTCTCTGACGCAGCTGTATAAAAAACATTTTCTCTCATGAAAAAAAAAAGTAAAGAATCAGCCTGCTCACCTTGAGTTTCATTGGTGCGTCAGACGAGTGAATCTTCCACAGAGGAGGAGAAGAGCGCTGATAATCATCATGGAGCCCCCATCCTTCAGCTTATGAAACCTGTAATGTGTTATGAGTTCATAGAAGTTTTAGTTCTTTATTTCTCATATGCACAATGGTGATACTGGATCAATGTGTGTCATTTGGATCCTTCAGAAAACACCCTTATACTTATTTTACTATTTCCTGTTTCTACTTAAAAATGTAGAATCTGAAGGAAAGCTTTGAATAAAGTAAATGAAATGTTTTAGTTTCTGTTTGTAGCACGTTTGTAGTTAAAGTCATATTGACCAATCAGATAACAGCAGGCTTTGGTGTTTGCAAGACATAGCCTGTACGCAGGTGGAGCAAAAGCAATCTATAGTAATGACATCCCAGCTTCTATCGGCAATAATCTGACAACGTTTTATTTATCTGTATAAACAGATATCTGCATACATGTGCAGCTAACAATCAGTTCTAGTTTAAAGACTTCACAACAATCTGCTTGATGCTGTGTTGGGAGAGCCAATCAGTGTTGAGATTTCCTTAATTGAATGCACCAGAAACTATCAATTTAAATGCCAACAAATATTTAAAGTGTAGTTTTCTTCTCCTCTTGAGGACAGACCTGACAAAGTTTGACTTTTTTACAAATTTGCATCATGATTTCGCCTTATTTCAGCAAACCAAAGACCAGTTGACGTGTGTAAATCATAAAGAAAATCTGTTTCTTTTTCAAGCTCATACTGCTGAAGAAGCCTCTGTGTAACTCAGTTACACTGGGACTGAAGCAGATGAACAGTCGCTCCTCTGGTGGGTGTAATGAAAAAATAAATAATGGCATTTTTATTTGTGAACATAAAGGGGCAAATTGTGATCTAAGCACACAGTTGCTCCTCAAGTTGCTTAAACTGGACTGTAAACAAGTCTCAGCTGATTGTCATTCATCGCTAACTGTTGGCTGCATAGGTGTTACTGAAAAGTTGTGTATTATTCCTGGAGGATATATTTATATCAATCGACAGCCGATGCATCTGAGACTGCATGAAGACAATTCACCTTTTTGTATATTATTAAAAAAATGTGTACTTTGAAACGTTGAATACGTGACCCAAGATCTAGAAAATAGTTGCAACAATTTAAGTAAAACTAAAATGTCACAGTACCCCTAAAATGTTCCTCCTGTCCCTCTCCAATGAAAGGACTTGAAGTGTGATTCTCAGTCACAGCATGTCCCCCTGTCTTTGACATGTAGACATTAGGAAGAGACAGCTCCTCCGGTGTGTATTCTGTGGTTTAATGAGGGTGGGGAGGGGGTTGAGCGGCACATGATGCTGCCGTGGTCCCTCTCTCCTTCAGGATGTCTGACGCACTTCTTCTTTATTTCATTGTACTTGGTGCCAATTTTCCCGTAGAGTACAGTGAGTTCCCTTCAAGAACATCGACATGTTTCCTTCATTATTGTCTGGGGGCAGTTTGGCCCGTCTGTTTTTCTTCTTCTCGCTCTGTGGCAGCCTAATGGCCAAGATTCACCACAACTCCTTCGCTGCAGATGATGTAATGTGTTCCTAAGAACCAGGGTGGAGGGAGAGTGTGTGTGTGTTAGTGTGTTAACCATGCATCCATCTTCTTTGCTAAAGCCGGAGTGAAACAGAGCTGTCAACTCTAATGGTTGGCTGCAGTCCAACGTGCGGGATAGTGTTATAAATGTCAACATTCTTTATACATTTAAGAAATTGCTTTGTATTTACTTATGGTTTCTCTGCTCTGCACACAGACAAACTGAAAAAATATGGCAACAGTTATACCCCTTGTTTGTCTAAACGAGGTGGGCCAAGCATCCAAATGTGAAAGGTGAAGCCAATGCAGAGTGCCTTAAACCTGCATGTTTTCTAATGACCAGCAGGGGGCGACGCCACTGGATGAAAAATAAATGTTGAATCTGCAGGTTAGAGGAAAATCACGTCTATAAAAGCTGTGTCCAAAACCACCCACTACTCACCATTACTTCAGTAGAGGAAGCAGAATTAACTTGACTAGTCGCACTTCTCTCGTCATCCACAGTTTTTCTTTGTACATCAATGCATGATGATGTATTTTCACAATACAGTGGTGGTTGGTGCACTTTATAAGGCATTCACCATTTTTTAGTGCTGTTCCATTGTGAGGGAGAGACATAGAGTGGACTCTTTGGATCCAACAGTGTATTGTGAAAAGTATTGTAATATTGCCCCTAAAATCTCCCTGGATTTCTCTTCCACAGTGTGAAGTTTCTCCTGCACTGTGAAATTTTTTTTAGTTGTTATAACTTAAAGAGCCCATATTATGAGCTTTTTGGGGTTCATATATTTAATCTATGTACCTACTAAAGTATGTTCACAATAGCTCTAAAGTTCTAAAAAAGTGTCTGTTTTCATGTACTGCTGCTCCATGCACCGGCTCGCTTCTGACTCTCTCTCTAAGGCTCTGAAGTGCCCACGTTCATAGTCCCCACGTGTGCCAAGTCTGATCTGATTGGTCGGCCTGTCAGCTCTGCCGTAATTGGTCAGTCACTCAGCATGGTTCTCGGAAATGTCACACCCCTTTTACCATATGCAGCCACTTTGGCTCAGAGGGGAGCAAAAACATTAGCACCTTAGCACTACTGTGCTACTGCAGGCTATGGCATATCGTGAGCGTGCTACAGAAGTTAACGGGCGTGCAACATGAGCTGCAGGGCTTGCCACAATGAACCAATGGGCTTAGATCAGTGATATCACACTGACAAGACGTCACACTGACAAATCTTTTTCGAGGGGGGCTAGAACCGAGCGTTAATGCTGCAGCTAACAGGAGGACGTAGGAGAAGCCGTGGACTCTTGAATTTTTGCACATAGATGTGCCTAAACATGCACAGGACACTTGGAAAACACACTAAAGAGCATATAAAACCAGAAAAAGCATAATATGGGCCCTTTCAAAAGGATAGTTTCCGGGCTGCCTTAAAATTATAAGTTAACTGTAGTTAAAAAGATTAGTTGAGATAAATTTGTGATTATTCCAAAGAAATGGGGGGGGGGGGGGGTTAGGGTATCAGGAGGTAAGACATGACGTAAAAAGAGGCTGAAAGATGTCAAAATATGTGATTAGAAAACATTTCATCATATCTGCAATACTTTTTTGTTTACAGTCTGTATAACCAGGGTTCTCACACTGCACTTCCGTTAACGCACACTCTGATCAGCCAGCGTTTGTTTTCTGTCACAGTCTCTTCTTTCTGTTGGTACTCTCACAAAGGACAGACACTGTGAGGGGAGGTGAGACGCTGTGAGGTGACCTTGAGAATCCAGAATGTGTCTCAGTCTGCCTGTGACTAACACTTACACAAATCCTCACAGGGTTTAATTTTCTGTGAATCTTGTGTGAGTGTGCCTCATAATTAATTAGAATATGCCATAGCATGTGAATGTGTGTGGGTGTGTGCATGACCTCGGTCACGAGAGCAGACTGTCATAATGAATGTGAATGAGGACGTCTGGGAAACAGTCCTCTGTTCTTTGCATGTGCAGAGACTGAAGGGTAAGAAGAACGACCCATGATGAACTGATGTGAAAAACATGAACCCTGAATTTCAAATCCAGAACTTTTTGTTTCTTTTACAACAGTCCACATGCAGCTGTCCTTAAGAAGCATCTACATGTATGATTAATAAAAATTAATAATGATCTGATAATGCAAAGATTATCCAAAGTAGCCCTGAGTTTGTTGTATGATTTTTGTATGAACATTTATGAAAAATAGGGCAATGTTTTGATTTCCACATTATTGGAACAATTATTCCCTATGAATCTAAATAAAAAAGTCAATATAAAGACACTCATAGCACTCAGGATTGTGGGTCGGAAAAGGATGCCATATACTCTACTGTCCCCCTCAGGATGTTTGACTTGGACTCCAAATGCTGCACACATTTAGCTGCCTCCAAAAAATATATTTTCTCTTATAAAAAAACATGCCTGAGTAAAGAATCAGCCTGCTCACCTTGAGTTTCATTGGTGCGTCAGACGAGTGAATCTTCCACAGAGGAGGAGAAGAGCGCTGATAATCATCATGGAGCCCCCATCCTTCAGCTTATGAAACCTGTAATGTGTTATGAGTTCATAGAAGTTTTAGTTCTTTATTTCTCATATGCACAATGGTGATACTGGATCAATGTGTGTCATTTGGATCCTTCAGAAAACACCCTTATACTTATTTTACTATTTCCTGTTTCTACTTAAAAATGTAGAATCTGAAGGAAAGCTTTGAATAAAGTAAATGAAATGTTTTAGTTTCTGTTTGTAGCACGTTTGTAGTTAAAGTCATATTGACCAATCAGATAACAGCAGGCTTTGGTGTTTGCAAGACATAGCCTGTACGCAGGTGGAGCAAAAGCAATCTATAGTAATGACATCCCAGCTTCTATCTGC